TTAGTTCAGTTGATTTAATTTTATACATTTAATTGTTTTATATATAATTATAAATATTGTATATAAAATTTTATGGTCTTGCATTTACGTTAAGGAGTCTGTCAGTATTTCTATGGATGTTATTGCTGCTATAATTTTTGTATTCGATAACATTCTCTATTTTTTTAAATGATATCTGATATTGGAGCGTTGACATTGAAAAATATTGATGGTATTACCATTCGTTCCTAATTAACTGCTTATACATATAGTTAATGAAATTCATTTTGGTTGTTTCTTAGCTTCAAGCTTCTATGTACCTAGTACATTCTCTTCCTGTTTTTTCTATTACCTTCCTCCTTATCGAATAGGCAACAATGCTATTACAGCCATACGTTTAATAGTAAATTTCGATACTTCTGCAAAATGAGTGATAGTTTCGAATATTTGAATGCTATTTCGGTGCCGCTTAGGCATTGCGTTGTTCGGTGGACGGCGCTTTATATTGTCGCTTATTGACGCGAACATGTGTTTCAATTTTAACGACCATTTAGATGTATGTTTGCTCAATAGATTATATTGCAAGTTCCTGACACTCTCATAGAAGATCTGGTGTGCGTGTGCGTGTGCGTGTGCGTGTATATACCAAGTGCAATTGAGAAAGTAGGTTGCATAATGGAACGTTCTATTATACTGTTAATGTATGATTCTTTATTAAAACTACTACTATATAACTAAAACCAGTTGAATTTCAATAAAAAATATCTCAGATAGAACTAGGATGGTTTCTGCAGCATGATCTGACAAAATTGGTTCTTTTTAGGAGCATGCAAAGAAGACATATAAAGGTCATTCAAAGACCATTTTACACATGTCGGAACATTCTACGTCGAAAAGTATTAAGAGGTACGTTCCACGTGCTTCACACTATATATTAGTGATTTTCAAAACGAAATAAAGGTAGAAAAACCAATACATACTTATATATTAAAGACGTACCTATTATTGGAACATTGAATCGATGTGCGAAAGCGTAAATGGATGGCAGAAATAGGACCTCCGTCAGTAAGACGTCGAACGTTGCGTTGCTGTCTGGAGCATATAGCTTCCGCAGTTCTGTAGAATTGAGCACAGAGTCTGCAAAAATTTCGCTCATAGGCAACATTTCTTCTTCGACAAAATAGGTCCAACGTTTTCCCTCAAACCGCATTTGAACAAAATCTAAGCTCTTTATGATTCCGTAAGATTGGCTAATATCGACTTGCGTAAAATTCGGTGATTTGATATTTGGTATAGGGTCCGACGTGGCTAGCACAACTTCGTTACCTCGTTTGTGTAGTTCTAGCCATAATCGTCGGTACGGTATTTGATGACTGTAGGATGGTGTCGGAACGATGGCTAGAATCTTGTAACATTCCGACTGCTTCGCGATGCCCAAGACGCACAGAACGAACAACAGACTAGAGAGGTGGTGCTTCATATTCCTCGTATCAAGATAAACTGAAGCTGATCCCGCTTACGGGTCTATTAAAAGGGACATCTCCAAGCTATCGTCATATTACGCAATTTATCATTGATGATACGATATCGGTATGTACTGCAATTTTAAAATAGTATCCGTTATCTCTAAATTACCGTCGAATACCGCTAGTACTATTAACCATTGCTATATGTAAGTGCAATGTACGTGTGCGATGGATATATTGTTTTGGCGTCTACGTTCTAATATATCATATCAAACATATCATATAGACCTTTTATTAAATTACAGATTTGTATTAATATTTGTTTAGTATATTATATATTATACAACATATTTGTCAAAATTTCATATGTTACACAATTTAATGCATTGCGTTTGTAGAAATCGATAGAACACAGAAATTCGATGATTTGTAAAAAATTGTTTACAATCCGTAATGCGGATATATACATGACTATTTTTGACAGTAATCGTGAAAAATATAAGCTTCTTGCTGCCTATAGCGTTCACCATTATTTGTTTGCTTTTCCTATAGAAAATACAATACGGATTAGAAACATGAAAAAGTGTGATAAATATCACGATAAAAAAACTCTTGTACGAATATAATAGCGAGATAGAAAATCAATTTTAAGGATACAATCTCTATCTCCATGTCATGTAATATAACATTGCATAACCATGTTGCAATCATACAACTCGCTATCATACTTAGTACACAATACTATTTCATCGATCAAATGGTGTTACTACCGTTCGCGGAGAGACGTGGTCGCGAGGAAAACGTGTCAGCGAGAGGCGTAAATTCTCGCTGCGATTCGGTTAATCGACGTCGCGAAGTAGTCGTTCCTCTGTTTCGGTTAAGATAACAGAGGTGGTTGAATGAATATGACACAGTATAGTAAGATTATTCCAACAACTTATAACGAAGGCAGTTACGCTGGTGCGTACGTACGAGATGAGTGAGTGACTGATCTACGGGTGTGTATACCCGGTCGAAGGATGTTGATCGTTCGAAGGATGTAAAATCAGTGATGTTCGGTGACGATGCTGTGGCGGAGGAAAGCTAAGGATGGGTGTGTCTAGCGCACGGGACCATCGGATTTGTCGATGACGATTTTGGCTAAGAGAGTGAGGGAAATAAGCTTCGTTGTTAATTGGTTAAACGAAGGGTCTTAACCGCCCTCGAGAGAAAGTGGTTAGTGGGAGGAAAGTTGCATCATACGCGAGAAAAACTAACTTTCCCTTGCCAAGCCGTAGTAGACAATAGTCATTAATAATGCTTCGGAAACAGACGTTTGATTGGTTTGAAGGACCTCGACTAGGAAATTCCTGAGATTTATGGAAGGTACTTGAGACTATTGAGGGTATGCAGTGAGTATCCGAAGACATCTGGTTGCCCGCGGTGTGTGGCCTGGGCTAGGTAGAGTGTTACGCGACGTAACAAATGGCAACGGCAGAAATCACTTATTAACATAAAACGACCAAATCAGCAAATAATAAACATCACGAAAAAGATTATTAGAAATATACAGTTGCATTCTATTACCGATTTACAGTATTAAAATGTTAACGCAGACTACTATTACAGTGTTGTCATAAATCTCAATGCAAAGCTTGGTATGCAACAGGTTTTAATGCACGTTCACTTTTATCATAAACGCTCATAACCGAACATAACGGATCTCTTCCATTTCTGAGGATATTTCTGTCCATATTAATTTTAATACGCAAAAATTAAATATGAACAATATTTTAATTAATGATTGGAATTTTGCTTCTATATTTTTTATAACGATACTTTATCAATATTTTATGAATAGAATATGAAGATATCATGTGAATATAAATTGTCCGAAGCTTTGCTAAGTACTTGTAACAATACTACAAAATTCTTTTCGGGTACATATCTTTTGTTATTATAGGAGAAATTGTTCGATATGCCAGGCTAGAGAGATATAACATCAAAGATTATTTGCCATCTGAACGGCGGCTGACAAGTATTTGCCAGTAAAAAAAAGTGCTTGACAAAGATCATTTTGCACTAAATGAAAAGTCTGATAAGCATAATTCTAATGTTAAGTAAACTGATTATTTGGTAGGAAGTAAAGGGCTACTATAATAATTAGCTCGTAGGGTAAATTATGGCAAGAATCACTTGCTGGTATAAAAATTATGATATTTATTAGTGTTTGTAAAGATTATTGTCTTCCTAAATAGATGTACTTTAATTATTATTCTATTCATCTTTGGCTTTATGACTTTTTCTACATAATTTTGTATCAATTAAAAAGGATTTACTTCGAATAACTACATGACGCCTTCGATTTTTTAAAATTACAATATCAATCATCGTCAACATTTTGCTTCGCTTAACGGAGCAGGATGAGGAGATTTTATCGGCGAAATCGCTACATATTTGCGACTAACAAGTACTATTTGATCATATGATCAACATATTGCCAGCAATACTGATTGATCCCTTATAATATACGATTTAAAGTATTTCGTTTTCGTTCTTGATAACAAAAGACGCGTTACAGTTAAAAACAATAAATTAGGAAACAAACGATATAACTTCCGGAACGCAACAGACGTATGTATATATATATCTATACATATCAAAATCGTTAGTCTTGTAACCAGAATAAGTCGCCAATTATAAAACGCAGGATGATCATTTCTTTAACGAAACTAGATAAAATTCATTCGTTGAAATGAGATGCTAAACGCTTGTGTCACTTGGACTGAATTGTGCTATAAGTACTTCTCTTCAATCAATTGCGTCATAAATACTTAGCTTATCTTTTGCTTTTCAGTCGATTTGATTTTTTTATGAATGTAGACAACAATCTTGGAAATTAAATAAAACGTAATTGAAGCGATCAAGAAAATTGTAATCGTTAAGAACGCTACAATGTCCATATCGCAACGTTGATACCAAGGCTGAAAAGCTAGACTACTGTGAAGATGAGGGGCGCCTTTCGTTCGTATCGCGTACTCCGTCCACCAAGCGAGGTGCTCTACCGGATCGTACGGTGTATCCTGAACGACATTTCGGATGTAACGTATCCTTTCTTTGTATCTGAAAGCAAGCGTAATAAATTCAACCAAAAATCACATCACATAGTACATCGAACAATGTCATTGAAAGATTTATTAGAAAATCTAGCAGCTAAAAGAATTTCAAAATTTCAGTCTATTAATTCTTTTTCCATTTTGAATACTTTTCAACATGAAAATAACTTGATTGCTTTCCTTTCGTTATTCGAATGATTCTACAGTCTCGATTAACTTGCAGAAATAATACTTTAGAACACAGGAATCTTTATTCCAAAAATTCTGATTAATTGGGATTCAAACAAATTTTTCCAAAAGGATCGTGTTATTACAAAAACGAATACTCTAAAACTCGTCCGTCATTTTCATAGATTAGGTAGTTCTAGCGCCGAACTCTCAAAAATAACACAATTATATAATTGCAGACTTGGTACTTTTAGTGTTAAACAAAAATAGCACAATTATAGCAAAAAAGTCGGATTATACTTACTTTTTGTTAGTTATAAGCTCTGTAATAGCATTTTCAAGTTCATCTTTCTTAAGGGTTGTAATTTCCAAATATTTTCCAATGCCCAGAGCTTCCATTCTGGCTACTTGATAATCTTGATCGGCCAAAATTGCGAAACCAAGAACTGGTACTCCATAGTGGACGGTCTCCTCGCTGCTCTGCAGGCCTCCTTGATAAATGAACAGCTTAATGTTCGGATGAGCTGTAGATTAATATGATTCGTTAGATCATTTTTTATCGAGGAATAGTATCTGCGATGTATAAATATTTTATTGAGAATAAGATCATACCGAGAATGGTTTGTTGTGGTAGCCATTTTCCGATGTAAACATTATCAGGTTTCCCGGGAAAATCCTCCTCGAATTTCCAGACGACTCTATACGGTAGCTTGGCGAACACATCGCAGAACATGCGTCGGATCTCCAGTGGTAAACTTGCACTTCTTGCGTTACTACCAAGACTGAAGTAGATGAACCCATTTGTAGCGCCATCCAGAAATGCTTGTAAGTCCTGTGACAAAATAGAACATCCTGATGAAAGACACATGTGTGTAAGAGAGTTGATTATACATAAAAAATAATAACTAAAGGGGAGTTAGTTCTGTTATTACTCATGAGTTTTGTAATGCCGGTTTAGAAAAATTTATGAGTTAATTTACAAGTAAAAAACTTCAACAATAGTAAAAAAGCTAGAGCCACCTAATGCATCTTATCCAATTCATCATATCGTTACATACAGTTTAGTTGTTACCCTTCCTATACCATTTATAATTTTACTAAACATACGAGTAATAAAATTGTATTTGTGCTAGATAAATCCTTATTCAATATACGCATAAATTTGTACGCATAAATGTTATTGTATAAACCCTACCTTAGGCAGAACTTTCGGAATTTTTTCTATGTGGGAGGATGTAAACGTGATTACGTTCGCTAGTTTCGGTCGAGCCGGTGCCATAACGTCGGCCTGATTGATGAAAAGCATGCTAACGTTCTTCAATACGTCTAACATTGGTGGCAGAGGCCCAAAATATTTTTCTGCCAATTTCTGTTGCTGAGGAAAGATCTCGTGGTAAACGTAATATAAGCTACGCCACATGTTGACGAAATTGCGCAGTCTCTTCAAGAACGGTAGATTCGTTCCTGTGTTGTCTTCCATTTCCCACGTGTACTCGTGAGAAGGGAGGACCAATCCACCAAGAGCGTGTTCGTTAACGGCAAGTATCCCTAATGAACTTAACCCTACGGTCATGCAAAACGTAATTAGAGGTGATCTTAATCTATTAATCTAAAAGAAACTAACAATAAAAGTAACCTTAAATATAGTTTCTTTTGAGATACTAATATTCCAACAAATAGTTTACTTTGGTAATATGCAAATGTATATTCATATTTTTGCATCTTCAAATTTATAATAAATGCATAGACGTTCGCGATCTAATCACGATATGATAATGAGTTCAATTATAATGATTTGGAAAAGTGGAAAGTGTATTCGGTAACTATATTTTTGAAAATGGTGTATGTTTAGTTCTACAATACGATATGTCTTTTTTAATTTATAATGTTATTTTCTAAATGAATCACATTCGAAATCCCTTTTCATTTAATTACTTCAAATGTCAGAAGACATATAAAGGTCGTTTGGAGGACCTTTTACACATGTTGATTCTTCGGAACATTCTACGTCAAAAAGAATTAGGTTGCCAGGTGCTTCACGCTATATATATTCGTAATAAAGGTAACGAAACTAATAAATACAAAAATGATTGTTAAAGGCGTACCTATTATAGGAACATTGAATCGATGTGCGAAAGCGTAAGTGGCGGGCGCGAAGAGGAATTCCGTCAAATAGACATCGAACGTTGCGTTGCTGTCTGCAGCATACAGCTTCCGCAATTCTGTAGAATTGAGCACCGTTTCCGCAAAAACCTCGACTATAGGCAACATTTCTTCTTCCACAATATGCAACCAGCGTTTTCCCTCAAATCGCATTTGAACAAAATCTAAACTCCTTATGGATCCGTAAGATTGGCTAATATCGATTTGCGTAAAATTCGGTGATTTGATATTTGGTATAGGGTTCGCCGTGACTAGCACAACTTCGTGACCTCGTTTGTGTAGTTCCAGCCATAATCGTCGGTACGGTATTTGATGACTGTAAGATGGTGTCGGAACGATGGCTAGAATCTTGTAACATTCCGATTGCTCCGCGATGTACAAGACGCACACAACGAACAACAGACTACAGAGGTGGTGTTTCATATTCCTTGTGTCAAGACAAACTGAAGCAAGTCCTGGTTGTAGGTCTACTAAAAGGGACGCCTCCAGGTTATCGTCATTTTACATAATCTATGTAATAATGATAGGATATCGGTATACATTATAATTTTAAAATGGTACCCGTCATCGCTGAATTACAGTCTCATATCGCTAGTATAGTTAACTATTATTATGAGTAATGACAACATATGTTTGCGGAGTGGATTTGTTGTTTTGACATCTATATCTTACTGCATATGCATATCATATAAATCTTAGCAATGATTATTAAATTGCGGGCTTTTATGCTATATCCATTTAGTATATTATATATTGTACGATATATTTATCGATATTTCATATATTAAAAAATTAATGCATGGTTCATCATTTGTAAAATTTGTGTTTGTACAAATCGATAGAAGACAGAATTCGAGGATTTGTAAAAAATTGTTTGCAGTCGATAATAGTGACATACACATGGCTATTTCCAAAAGTAATCGTAAAAGATGTGAATATTTTGCTGCCTTTAGTATCCCCCATCCCTTTTCCTATAAAAAGTAGAATACAATTTAAAAGCATGAAAAAGTATGTAAATATCGTGATAAAAAACACTTCATCGATCAAGTGAAAATGACAGAAATCACTTGTTACATAAAAAGATCAAATCAGCAAATAATAAACGTCACGAGAAAGTTTATTAAAAATATACAGTTGCTTCCTATGATCAGTTTACGGTATTAAAATGATGACACAGACTAGTGTTATATTGTTGTCATAAATCCAAATGCAAAGCTTCGTATGCAACAGGCTTTAATGCACGTTCACTACACATTGACTTTTATCATAAGTGAAATTTTGCAGATTAGATTATTTGTATATGGCGACTGTTCAGCGTTTATAAGGATAATAAAACAACGAGGGAAATGCACAAACATTGTAAAATCAATGTCAATACAGGAAAGGCCAACGATAAAGCTTTTACTTATGAGAATCCAAACAGCGTAAACGCGACGCTTTAACATAATGTAAGTAAAATAGATTATTACTTTACTATATCGTCTATAATCAGAGAAGAAAGATCCATTGCATAAATCTAAGATACAAATAAAAATTCTGTAATACGAAAAAAATGATTTATATCAATGACATAAAATTTCAATTATATGACCCGGATGAAAGAAGAAATAGATAACCATATACGAATGATCGCAATGAGACTATTCTCTGTCGTTTGACGCAGTGAAATTCGTTTGAAAGTAAGAGAAGCGGATCTGGTAGCAGGCAGCGAACCGTACCGGAAGAAAAACATCTATCAACGACAAATAGCTGCCCGTCACGAGGCCGCAGGCTGGCGGTTTCGTTTCTCCGCGACCGAGAAAGTGTAAAATCCCAGGACGGTCTGTCGTAACGTAACACGAGTCGAAACGATTTTCTGCGTCCAGGTTTGTCAAGTTTCTTAACCGCCCCCGTGGGCACGTTGCTCGCCTCCGGTTAAATCACCGATAATTGCTCGAACGATCGTAGCCTGGAATTCAATTTCCTTGCAAGTTCGCGAAAGAGATCGAGAAACCTGGACAGCTTTTCACGCGGAACACCAAAATTGGATTCTTTTTAAGCGAAACGATCGCGAATCGTCTAGTAAGTTTCTAGAGAATTTCCAGACGATTTTCACTATCGGCATTCGGTGGAAATCGTTAACTGCTCGAAGATCGTTGTCGACTAGAAATTGACGTTACGATGATGCAGCAATCATGGAATATTAGAAACATTGTGAGTTATGAAACAGTGTTTGCATGACAAACGTCGTTGAACATCTTTTCCTCGTCTCTCATGAAGGAACAAAATTCGTCATCTTCAAAGATATGCTTATACATTGCAAAGTCGTAACATATGAAATATGTTGAAAATGTTGAAATATGAATATGAAAATTCAAAATCATTATTTTTTAATCTTTATGTACGTATCATTTTATATCATTTTAAAGTTGAAATACGATCTATATCCGATTACATACAATCGTAACTTTTTAACAATAACGTTTAGTCTACGTTACGACGCGTGCGCAGCGCGGGACATGACAGTGTTATTCATAAAGCCATACATCATTTTTTACGCGTACGAAGTCTAATTTTTCTATTTGCTATTATCTATTGGATGACAACTTCGTTTTATAAGTATATATAACCTCGAAAGTACTTAAAAGAAAACCTTGTCGAAAAAAACCTACATGTTTTATTCAGAATTTCTCCTTATGCTCATCCCATGTTCAGGATTTATGTTTTTATCTCTTTTATTTATTTATACTTTTACACGTTTATATCTTCATATGTTTATAAATCTAAGAAATTCTGATTTTCCTAACACCAATATAAATAAGACCAAATAAAACACCCAGCATGTATTGATATGCGTTTCATAAGAGTTCATTGCGTGTTATGATCGCTGGCAAAAACCACCGTACCCTCGAGGGCTGGTAACGTGGAGGTAGCCACTTGCTGAAGGGGTTTTATATTGAACTGACCACCTTTGCAAGCTCAAAATGTATAATCGATAAATCCATGTGTTTCTCCTACGTTAACAACTATCGTATCAGGGATTATAGGAGCCTTATCTCGAGTAGTTTCCAGTTAGTGTGTATCAATAGTTTGTTATTAATCCCGCGATATTTAAGCCGTTATCAACTCAGAAACATTCGCACTATCCACACTCAGTTTTGTGATACAATCCGCTGTCCAATAAATATCACAATTCTTTATACTTGCACGTGATCCTCGTTATCCCTTATCTTACGCGTTAATTATATTTAGTAGCCTCTTTTATTTTACTAGCTACTATTTTACTAGCAAATACTTATCAGCTTATCATGCCAGTAGCAAATAGTCTTTACTGCTATATCTCTCGTAGATCTCGGTCTAGTGTCTCGAGCAACGATGATTAAATTATCTAAACTATAAACACGGCGTATCGTATCGAACATTTTGTAACAAATAGAATAAAATTTTGGAATTTCAAGGATTCAATTAATCGTACGAATTGATGCGAACGAACGCATCAATCGGAGCGATTTCCGTGAAGAATCGAAGCGCGAATGTATTCGTGTTCAAGCAAGAGAAACGAATCCTTGAAAGACAAACATTTACCAGCGAATTGAAGCTGATACGGACTGCTTCTGGCTCGACGGCGTCGTTAGACAGCTAGCCGGATTCCGCGAGGAGTTTGCGTATATAGCCGCGACATATGCAACGGATCGTCGAGCTCGTCTTGCACGATCGCGCAATGCTCCGATGGCTTGCCAAAGTAGCATCGATCTCTTCCATCTCGTCGAAGAAATTGCTCGGTTACGCGTATACCGTGAAGCGTGTCCGCACACACCACGCATACATCCTGTGCTATGGAAAACGGTGAATCCTACGAGTTCGACGCTTCACGCGATGTTGCTGTCGCTGTTCTTGCGAAAATCCTGTCTGAGGAACGACTGATCGCTTGTCTCGGTATAAATTTCAGACGATAGGCAGAAATTTCTATAGTGATAAAAAAAAAAAAAAATGAACGAGTTAACAAGATAGTATATTTGAGATTTTGGATCTATAATCTTTGAATTTATGAAACAAATTGTGCAATTAAAATTGTGTTTATCGAATATAGAATCGAACGTAGAATAATAAAAAATAGAATCGAAAAGTTCTGTCTGATGCCCGTATTGTATTTTTATATAAAGAGTACGAAATACTTAGCCAAAATAATGAAATTATGTTCATCGGTTGGAACTGAATATTTGCCCGACGTTTCGTCCATGTTGCAATCTACCTTTTCAGGACAGTTTTGAAACTCATAATTGTGACTCGCTAAATTTTCCTAATTATCAATTCTGCATACAATTTTGATTTATAGCTTTGCATCTTTCTACAAATTCTTTCTTCAGACATTCCAGCATAAATAAAGTTTAACACCGTTGATTTTATAATCTCCCTATAATATCCTTCATATATAGAAAAGTAATAAAGATTAGGGAATGTCATTTGTTGTTCTCGTGAAATTATGCATTTTCATCGTGATTGCATGAGCGTATTCGTCGAATATCAGACGAAACTCGGTGAAATTGCTTCAAACGTGTAATGCTAAACCCCTCTCTTAGGCGTGTATCGGTGAAGTTATCAGTCGTTGCAATAAAAATGATAGACCAACGATGGCACTGCCAGCTGCGTGACTTTCATGATTTGACGGAAGTAGTTGGTAAACGTGATTAGATAGACTTATGTGTATTTAAACCATATCTCCAGCGTTTTACGAAATTGTTACTTAAATATGTATGTAAGTTATTCTCATCATAGCATCTATGTAAGCGTTAGGTTTCTCCCAACATAACGATCGAATCTTCGAATATAGTAAATCGTTCGGATAATAATACGTTCTGATAGCGATTATTCGAATATTCAAAGTTCCATTGTATCTCGTACATACATCGATGCTTCTGTCATCCAAGGGATATTAATCGCTTTCGGTAGAGCACGCGAGCGATTTATGGAGCACCCTGTCACGAATGGGATTCTTTCAACCAAGTTGATCGGGCGACTCGGCTATGTTCAAGTTGCCACCCACCATTCTTCTTATGTTGTGTCTCGTGCAGGGTCAGGTAGCATAATTAAGAATAACCTCGATCCTTGTTGACTCACGCGTGTCTCTATCTCGGTACCACCTGGCACTCGCGTTTACAGACATGCAAACCACTTTCGTCGTAGTCACCACATTATCCCATAAAAATCTCACTTTTTGCACGATATCACCAGTTAGTAGTAAATCATGCTGCGTTCTTCGATCCATTAAAAAGTCAATCGTGTTCTTTTACCGTCAACTTTCTTAATTTTTAGAGAAAATTTTCCACTTTAATCTTTCCATCAGCTATCATGGGTGAAATTTCATCATCATTGCTCTCCAACAATACCATCGTAATATTGTTTGTAATTATTGCAAATAACTTTTCCGGTATTTTATATATTACATCGAATAATGATAAGATCTTTGGATCATAGATAGCTACGATAATCTGAGTTATGCTTTCATTAGATCGTTTGTTCTTTGAATACTTAATTCTCTTATATTCTACTAGGTAGGCTCGCCTCCCGAAAATCAAACACTTTTACATTAAACGCGGATAAATGTCGGAAAGAATAACACGAAACACGAATCTGTAACATTCGCGATAATTCCAATTGAAAACGTTGTATAGAAACGTGACATAAAAGTGTTGCAAATTTTGGCTAATCTTTTTATACATATAGGCTAGATATTTTACGCGATAAGCGTCATTCATGGTATATACTAGTGATTTTAATACACCCATTATTAATAAATACAACTTATTCTATTGTAGTCACATATTGGTATCATTCGTCTACTAAGGCTCATTAGAAAGTTATTAAAAAACATAGGTATTAATTGAAGGTTAGAGTAAAAAAATGAACTTTCGTCCATGATAACACAAATGTGACTTTCTTGTGTTTCTCTCACGATATTACAGATCTTGTTGCTTAATAGAAATAAGAATGAAATATGAATAGTTGAAGATAATAACAAAATTAATTAGCCTGTACTCGTATTGCAAAATGCTTTCAATTACGGAACAGAATTTGCATGATCATCCCGTGACTATCTGAACATTTCAGTTGAATTACGCAAATGCGGATGCAAAAAAAGGTCATATCACGATTACATCGCGCATTCTTCTGTTATTTGACGTTTCTGAGGTTAAATGAGATTCATGAGCAGCTCTATTTTAATAGTTTTATTAGCATATTGCACTTAAGTAAATGTCAAGTGTTATCTATACTGATAACATATTGCATAAGATTGTTACGCGTTAATTAAGAAAATCTATGATTAGCGGTTTGAATAACTCGTCTTTCTTAGTATGGCCTATGAAATCTTATTCTGGTTAAAAACTCTTATGCTCATTTTGTTGAAACATTTTTTACTGATTTCATTTTTTAAGGCATATTCTGTTGTTTTCAAAAATATAGTTTCGTGACATTGTCTTAAGGTTGATTTCTATAACTCAAATCAAACGTATGGAGACACAGGTCGATGATAAGAATATGACATTGGCACCTGCCGATGTGATATGTTTGTTCCAAACTCGAAACCGATTCGTAGGGGTATCTTTCGAAGAAAGTCACGCCGATATGGGCAACGACCTCGTGCCGAGCGATTCACAAGGAGTTTGTGTTTTTAGATTTCATTTTATTTTACAGACTGATGCACGTTCTTTGTGTTTTCAGTGGAAACGTTCATCGATTTTGGCAATACCGATCGACATAGTGAGGACACATCTTTAGACTTGCGATTTCCATTTCCATGGCATATTTACTTACCTATGATATATGTATGTATATTTTGATATCTTCGTTATATATTTATTCATTATATCGTTTTGTATTTGTTGAAAATACAAGATTATCCCAACTTTATGGTACGGATAGCACATCTGCTATTTTCTTGAGAATTTGGAATTTCTCGCATCGCACATTATAAAAATTTACGATTCGGATCACGTCGACAATATAATTAGCATCTTTAAGCGCTCGACGGCTTCGCTCAATAGCAGACGACGTGTTACAAACTTCGACCCTAGATTAGAATTCGACAATAGAACACCGGATGAGGTCGCCAACGGGACGTTACGCTACGCATCCTCGACCAGGTACGTACAAGACGTACCAATAGTTCAACAGTCACCTAGAATGTAAGCACCAGGCGCTTCGAGAATAGGACTCTTATGTTTCATATCTCTTACGTTTCATATTCTTTTGTACTAAACATTTCAAATGAACGTAAAAATGACAAGCAAACTAGAACTCTTTAAACTCCCTCCAGTTTGAGCGTTAATATCTTTCAAGGTTCGCGACCCAACCGAACAGTTTTCAATTTAACTGATCGTCACCTAGTTGAGAGAACGCAACAGTATTTCTTTCATTTCTCTTTCCAAATATTTGTTTGTTTGTTTATTTCTTTCAAACAGTTTTCGCTTCTTTCTTTCAACATCTCTAGTTTATGCAATTGCTAAAAATCTACGAAATCTTGTGAATCTAATTTTCGAAATTTATTATAATATATTATTATTATTATTATTATTATTATTATTATTATTATTATTATTATTATTATTATTATTATTATTATTAGAGTAACGTGAAGAATCCGATAAAAAATTTATTATTGCATTGTACTATGCAATATAGTGGTGCAATACGGCAATTACTTGCAACAACTAAGCACTTTCAATATCCAAGTAAAGATAAGACTCGAAATGATATCGCATATTCATTATCGTGACACGCACTTTTGCTTATTAATATAAGTAGTGTAATCTTTATGATAAACATCAATGTTAACATTCATAACTCTGATAAGAAAGCGTTAATTTGGGTTCCATTTATTCTTTAAAAATCATATCGATATTCAATTATTTAATTGTATAGATATGATTTGGAATAATGTGAGATTTGTTTAGAAAGAGAAACAAAAAATTTGATATCCCGTGATAAATCTTTATCGTGACACTATAAGCATTTTTGTTCGATGTAGACCGTAGATCGTTTTATGGTCTTCGATTTTTATCATATCGAAGCTGTAATAATTAAACAAATCCGCGATAGATATAAGTAGAAAATAATTATCTTTCCCAATTTTTCTATCATTGAATTAAGTCGCTTATCTATTATAAAACCGAACAACAAACGATTTCTATAAGGAAATGATTGAAGTTGCAATGTAAAACTACATTTTGTGTATTAAATGGTTTCACCGTGGTTCCCGCAAAGTTGAAAACTTTTTCCATATACAGGACGAAGACGACCTTTACAAATACACGCATGAACATTTGATTACTTTAAAAATAATTAATTGTGGTGTTGCACATATAAATGAAAATAAAAATGATGCTACGTTGTAAAGAACGTAGTAGATACATTTGTTACATAATATACATAGTACAATTCTAAGGTAGCATTTATATCAAATGCCTGAAGTAATGAAGAAAATACCTAATAAGTAAATAATGAAGAAATTACAATTACCTAGATATGGAAATCAATCGAAATTGACAAATAACATGTGCGTGAAATGTTTCTACTTGGAATCGTGCAAGTATCGATGACCATAATTATGCATCTGACACGTTGCGATTATACGAATACATTGAAATTTCCATAAATATTAACGGAGAACGGCATTAATCTTCCATAGCCTGTAATTATTATAACTACATATTAGAAGTACATACATATTATTTGGTAAGAATGACACGGACATTTGACGTTGATAAATTCATGGCGTAGATCATAAAACAGAAAATAAAAAAAGAAATATGGAAGCATTAAAATGTAGAGTGTGCAGTAACAGAGTAACATTTGGAGTGGAATGACTTTGCACAAATGTCGGTTAATTCTGTGTTAGGAAAAAGTTATCCTAAAAATTTATCATATATTATTTTTACCTTGTATAATTTATTGAATTTTGACTGGAAATTTGATAGCAAAATTTATCCTTATTTCATGAAAGAGAAGTATATTTGAACTTTTTAACCGAAGTAATTAATTGATTAGGAAATACTGTTTTAATATTTGAAAGTTATGCTATTTCAGGTTATTCATTATATCTCGTATAACATTTTTTTATGCATGTTTAATGGTCAGACTTTATCACTTTCTCGATATTTCAATAAACCATCCATCACAATTACCAAATACCAACAGATTCGTGTTTCGTGTAATATTTATATTTAAATTATATTAGTCAGTTAGCTGTCAGCTACGATAGTTAAAAATACACATGGAAACACATGCAATACGCAAAAACAAAATGACACAGATTGACGAGACGACGAAGATTCATGTCAAAACATATGTACGAGAACAAATTCATCTAAATTGACAGACAACAACGATCTGTAGTAAATCATGAATACATATGTTACGTTAAAAAAAAAACATTGTACAAACTGACAAAATGACGATGATTCGCGTCAAAGAACCGTATCACGCTATGTATTTAGTATAGAAAAAAAAGATTATAAATTCTATGACACGTTTATAATAATTTTCTTATTAAATCGTGTTAACTTACCGATCAAAAAATTATCTTTTCAACGAACCAAAATACTATCAATAAGAATAAAGAAATTGATACGAAGAATATTATAATTAGTTTAATTATATAAGAGGGTCCTAATAAATACTAAAAATAAAATCACCATTAATTAATAATGCTACAAAAATCAGTAGTAAAAGATATATCACGTTCGAACGAAATCATGTAATCAGTCCATATATTTAACTTTATAGATGCGATATCGCATTAATTACGATTCAGATCGTCACTATCAGAATCATAACATCATTCTCATTCGCCTCATAGAAACCAGTCAGAATCGCGGCGTATCTTCTAAATTTACGAGTTGTATCTGGAAGCTACGTTTCATTCGAATTTTCATACATGTCGTTCAAACGTCTCTCCCCCTGCTTTCTTTCCCTTTCGTTCCTTTATATAGACACTATATATCTCTATATATTTTCTTTGCTTTCCTTTTTTTTTTTTTACTAGGCAAACCATGACATCGCGATATCTCTCGACGGGCAATAGACGACCGACGCGAACGTTACGAACGCCCTTCGGAACTTTTTCCAGTGCACGCGTATTGGACGCGGATAAACTAGAAAATATTATCCCGCCGTTATATCGTTGTGCCTTTATCATGTCGCGTTTCTCTTCGGTGAATCAGCGCTCTGTAATGAACACCAGATACATACATCGTGCTACATACTGCTGGCTTCGTCTGATTCCTCATAACTCAAGACGAGCAGCATCGTCGTATGCTGCGTATTCGCTTGTTCCTGCGGCTCGTTGATTCAACGACGTCGTTTCCTTTCGTTTGTTCGTGCGTGAAATTGCAACGAGAGATAGTTTAACAGTGAAAAACATGAAAAAATGACGGGTTTCAGAATCTTTTGCTACTACAATTAGTAGAAACACATAATAGTATAAGTATATTTATGTACATTTATATATGTAGGATATTTTAGTATGTTTGTAATAAGTACATATATGTGGTATATTTATATTTTCTTTTTAATTATAATTATCCGTGTATAGTACTGGTTTACTGTATAAATTTAGTCGCTCACCAAATCTTCCAATTAACCCTCAATCCGAAGATCCTCATTAACTTTTTGCATCATTCAGAGTTACTTGTTTCGTCGATTAAAAAATTTCCCCCCTGCTTTCTAAGAAAATCATGCAACAATTACGTATCTTGCCTTTTTTCCTGCTCAATTACGATAATTCATCGTATGTAAAATAACAGATTACCTTATGAAGGATATACCAAAGTTTCCATTGTTTGCATATACAATAAATAATAGTGTGTGTTATTGTTATATATATTAAAAGGTATTTTTGTTCTTTTTGTGCTACTTCATTTACCAGAAGAACAATATACGCATATTAAGACACTCAGTCGTGTTCCATCGTGAATTTTCCTTTTTTCAATCCCATTTCCTCTCTTGGCGTAAGAACAGCAAAAAAACAATATCGGCAACAATATGAACAACTAAGAGAAAAAGAAGACAGCGAGAAAAGGGCCGAAAAGAAAAGGAACGGAGGTAGGAAAAAAGTTCGATTACGCGGCGTCATCGGACCAGCATTGGTGCGTTTCACGGCTGTTTGCGTCGATTCCTTTTTCCTTTTCTGGCGCGCATTTCACACCGCCAACTTTAATGAGATACGCGCGGAGGTGTGCATTATCGACTCGTGGGGCAGGAGAGCGTAGCCGGTCGCTTTGCCCGGCGGAACGCGATTGTCGCCGTTGAAATTTTCATGCGCGACTTGTCCGAACCTATGTATACGTTGCGTATACACCTCAACGACCATGGAGACGGCCACGGTTTTACCAAGCTTGTCGTATCCCGAGAATTCTCACGTTATCTTTTTCCTCTTCTCTTTGTTTCTTCTCTTGCTACATTTTTCTCCTACCTTCATCCTCTTGTTACATTTTTCTTCTTCCTTCATCCTCTTGTTACGTATTTCTTCTTCCTTCATCCTCTTGCCTACTTTATTTTTTGTTGCGCGCATGTAGCCGCCATGCGATTGTCTTACTTTATGCGCTACACGATGACGCAACTTTGCGCGATATGCTTATTAACCCTTAGCGGATGAAACGAAGCTCAAAAACGTCGGTATTTATAAAACTATTCTAAACTTAAAAAAATAATCCGCTGTGTATCAGCTACAGTGACGCTTATTTTAAATTTCAATGTAAAATCTCACCGTTACTTAGTTCATCGCTTGTTATGCAACGACTATGAAGATCAAACGCTATTACAAACAATTATACAGGGTGGTTGGTAACTGGTGGTACAAGCGGAAAGGGGGTGATTCTACGCGAAAAAAGAGGTCGAAAATATAGAATACAAATTTAAAAATTTAAAAATTTAAAATTTAAAAATTTAAAAATTTAAAATTTAAAAATTTAAAAATTTAAAAATTTAAAAAATTAAAAAAATAACGTCAATCGAAACAACGATCTACAGTGAGATTCGTTATAACGAGACGTGATAAAGTGCACGCGTACTGAGCGAAAATTCAAAGTCGATTTTCTCGAAAGCAAAGCCTCAAACGAAAAAATTTTATTCTATATTTTTGACTTCTTTTTTCGCGTAGAATCACCCCCCCTTTCCGCTTGTACCACCAGTTACCAACCACCCTATATAAAGAAATTCCCGGGAAAATATCAAGCTCTTTACATCTCAAAATTTCTTTCCTTTCTTCTCTTTTTCCTTGTTCGAAGATAAACGGTGCTAGAGTCCGGATCCTCGGACGGGATATGAATCACACGTCGGAATCCAGTGCAATCTGTCTGCCAGACGGTTTGCTTCCGGTGTCGTTTATCGAGTACGCGGCGATCGGATAGAACACGCGTGGCTGTGTACTGTGTATACACGCACACGAGGAATCCCGATGGAATCCCGACGGAATAGGCTAAGAGAGCACTTGAGGATGCCTAGTCTCTGGCAGTGAACGGCGGCACGAGTGGCGGACATTTCGGTGCCTCTAAAGCTCATTGGTCCGCAGCTGACGTGTACAAGGAAATGGCATTTAACGGATTAAAAGCGGCCATCCAGACAGCTAGCGCAATAGTTCCCGATAACGGCTGGCTAGAGTTAGAATATTTTTTCCCCGTTCCCCTTCTATCCTTTTTTTTTTTTTTTTTGTTGTGTTTTTCTACTTTTTGCTTTTTGCTTCTATTTTTCCCCGTGTTTCTTTTTTAGATCGTTTTTTGGTTTCTCGTCGAGCATTCGTTTTTTTTTCATCCCGGGCTCGCTTCGCTCGCGTACACGCGCGACCAGCCTATTGATTTCGCACAAAGTGCCGACCATTCCAACCTACGAATCACTTTACTTCGATCGAACCATCACCGATAAGGATATCGACGATACTCGCGATTTCAGGAAGTAAGTGAAAATGAACGATTAAGATTTGCTGATCTGATTCTTTGCGTTTGTTAACAGGAAACTCGAAGAAAATGATGGATCGTGGCACTCGGTTAAATGGAGAACACTCCTGCGGTCGCAGGAAGGGTGTATCATAATTTAAGACCTGTTCGCGGCGGTGATGCTGGTTCGCTGAGTAGGTGTTACGATTGATGGTTGTTGGGAGTTTGAACATGTTTTCTACGATGAAGTTTTGTGGTAAGTGGTTTAACGATTGAATGTAATCTTGAGAAACAGAATGTGTTTACACCTGATATTATAGTTCTCTTAGTTTATTATCGTTCTATTATAATTTTTTTCAATTATAGTTATATTAGTTGATTCAAGGCTAGTAGTTCCTTAATTGAATATATCAATTTTCTAATCATTCTGCCATAATCATTTCATAAATATATATGTATATGGTGTTCACATTTCCTAAGATAGTAAAAAAAAAAAAAAAACGATAAGAAATTATTATATCGTATGCAGTTTTATATAAAAGTACCATTGTTAAAATATGCTGTAAATCCGTTTCGGTTAACAGGAGAAGGGACCTTGAGGACAAAAAACAGGGCGTTACAAGTTCAAAAGCATCTCTTTGTATAAATAAAATTTTGCTAGAAAAATTATTTTATATATATATAGTTATACAGTTATGTAGATAATGTAGTACATAAATAAAGAAAACCATTATCACGCCGCAAGTGATAAGTATAATAATACAACACGCATTTCGTGTAACCGTATCATGCCACGACCTTTTAGCAGAGACAGCCGTAACGAAAGACTTTAAGCACCAACCCCGCCTTCCTCGGTTTCTTCTCTTTCTACTCTTTCGTTGTTACGTTGCTCATAAAAGTTCTCTGCGCTCTTATGTAATGTGTAATGCTTCCTAATAACGATCTTATATCTACAACTTTTACAACGACTTATACAACGATCATTTTTCTTATAACAACGGAGAATCTAAAGAAAAAAGCACAAGAAGTTGACGACTGTCGAATATAAATCGTTCTGGAGCATCCAAAAAATTTAATTTGCCTGCTCTATGTAGCTCTATAAAACGTAGACGAAGAACATAAAAACGAGACACTCGGTTGAAGGTGAATAGAGTTTCTAATACAAAGAAGCCTTGTAATATCGTCGTCGTGAAATCGCAAAAATATTTTTCGTGGAAAAACACACAGGAGTCTCGCGGCTATGTAATAACCTTTCACCTGTGACACACAGATGAAGAAAATAACGAAATTTTCAAACTCGATGATGTCAACGATTGGTTTCGCTACGTTAACGAGATTTATGCAGTCGACGCGTCGGTCTCGTCGCATCAGCGGATCTGTCATTAAAAACGGATTACGAACCGATTATTTTCGTGAAAACGTCCAGCTTTTTATTTCGGCTAATCGTAAATGCCTCCTAAGTGGATGTGAAAAAAGACCAATTAAGCATCGTTTTTCATTGCTCGATTCTCGTAATGTATTGTCGTCGGAGTATGTTAATCTGTCAATTATTTCGAACAATGTACAAACTAAATTCCAACGCATGTTGGATAAAAATGACTTCCTCTACACGAAAGATAACTGAACTCGGAACAGAAAATTGTTCGCCATTCTCCCTCAAGCTCGTTTCCTTCTCTTCCGCGAGATTTGTTTTTTTTTCGCTAGTCTTTGAACTTTCGTTTCAGTGCGTTCACCGGAAATGCAATCGGCAGAAATAACAAACACTTGGTATTCCACGGAGCTCGTGTTTGCATATTCGTTTGTTTCGTGACAAAGGCTTGAATCCGGTGTTCAAGGCAGAATCATCAGCGTCGCTTTTGCGCTTTGAAAGTATTGAATTTTTTACTACGTTCGTCGTTCACTGGAGTCTCTACGTTCACGTAGCTCTCTAGTCACGCCACGAAAGATTTCTAAATAAAATTCACGCGTAACAGCATCTGGGAGACGCGAAGACATTAGGAGGAACGAGTTAACGGTAACGTCGGGAAGACTAGAACGAGAAGAATGGAGTCGCGACAAGACCTTCGATCGCGGTTTTCGCGTGAATTTTAATGAAAATCAAACTCGAAGAACACTCGAATAGGGGAATGGGAGAAGGCAGGCGCTCGATGATCGCTTTTGTTCCAAACCCTGAAATCCTATTTGAGTACGATCTCCTTAATCCGGAATCTCTCGAAAGAGATTACAGGGATAATTTTGCCGAATCGATCTTAATCAGCTTTTCGTCTGCCTACAAACCGATGTCGAGAAACTCGACGAACCGTCTAGCTCCATTGGTGTCTGTGTCAAGAGCTAGACACGCTTCTAGTAAAACGTTCCATTTCGTCGGTGGTTTCGCACGCGCGAGATCGTTCCTCCAACTTCCATTCCCTCTCTCAGGTACCATCTCTCGAGCTCTCTCATTTCAGCAGCGATAGAAACGAATCGGAGTTCGTGGAGCGAGGCTACACGGGTAAAAACAGGTCGAGTCAATTCCCGATCGTGAAACTTTCTCGATTCCCCGCGATTCAGCCTGCTGTTTAACGATGGAGAAGCGTAACGATAAGTTGAAAAGTCGGATCGCGTCCATGGCGCGCACTGCTGCGCCGATGGCAGCTAATTGTATACTATGGTCATCGATTCTTGGCTATATTGGAACGAGAGCCATCAATTGGTCCAATATTATAAGAGATATACGTAAAAGAGAATATTATGGAGAATATAGAATGTGATAAATTGACTGTTTGGATGATTCGATATGCACATACAACCGAATCTCGATATCTCCCATCTTATCTTCAACGTATTTTATATGCGTTATTTTACCTGTACAAGTCGCAGTCACAAAGAAGCTCAATTTCGACAAGAATTTTCCTTTATAAGACGAAGTTTGATCACTACTACTATAACGTCTACGAATCTAAAAATATAAATGCTTTTACAGAGTCTCTTCGAGTCATTGGATTATGTTTTGACTATCGTTGCTGATTTGTAACTAATAAAAATCTGAATAGCGATTATTTCATTCATCACGTTCCTTACAGAGACAGCATACTTGCAAAAAGTATGCTAAAATCGCGTTTTCTTCGTATCTTTTTCGCGGCAAGCAGCTCTTGAATTTTCATGAAAACTCAACCAGATTTTCAAACGCCTTTGGTCTTTCATCTTTGTAATCTACATTCCTCTCAAAATACATAAGATATTATACGAAAGCAAAATTCCTTGATCATGGAATGATAATGGTTTTATATTACCACATTCGCTGAATTCAGTGATGAGTATAAATGAAGGAGAACTAAGCATCGTTTTCCACCCTATCCTCTCTACTTTTCATAGTCATTTCAATCCATTAATTCATCTTATAGAATTTTATGAATCTTTAATATTGTCATTATGAAAGGAGATCTCAAGGATTTGTTTAATATTTTTATCCTTCCTCCACTTATCAGGTTGTCCGAAATGTTTCTTTCTTTTTATAAAGAAATAATAGACGCACAATGCTTTTTATTTTATATTAGTTTATTGAATTATACACGAACATAGTAATAGAAATATAACGAAATGGATCATGCCTAATTCAATAAAATAATATAAAACAGAAATTGTTGTTCATCTAATATCGCCTTATGAAACGAAAGAAACTTTTTGGGCAACCTGATATCACCTACAATGTACAATATTAAAGTTCGAAGAATTTCAAGTATCATGTATATATATATTTCAATATTATAATAGTAGTTTTGTCCAAATTATAGAATCTTTCCTCTATATTTCTGACTTGCGTAGTCACACGAAGGAAATATGTAAAATATAATCGACGATCTTTTCCATGTGTTTTATTTTTGAAATTATTACATCTTATGCAACGTTTTACATCATTTTACAACCATAATACGTTTAGTTACTCTAATCAGTTTAATACTTTTAGTCCTAATAATACATTTTCTTCATTTCGATAAAATAATACTTGTTATATTACTTCGTATTACTGTAAAATCATTTGAATCGAAAACCTTCGATTCATCGTGATAATCTTGTGCCTCTTTCAAATCCACGTTCAACCACTGTTACTGTGTTGTCTATGCTACCAAAAACGAGGTACGGGCGAGATTGTTTCTGAAACCAACTCAATTCTGCGTTTCGACGAACCGTCGATTCCCTTCGTTCACGGTAGACGGGCTGATCGAGATTAATCGCATTCCGCCGGTCAGGGTGGCCGACCCTTCTCTGATTGACGACAGCGATTAATGCAGGTCGTCAGGTTGTGCTCAGGGTAAACTGGCGTGTCCTCGATGTGGACGCGTCCACGAGGAAGCACGTGATGTTTGCATGCGAGAAGCACGTTCACTCGCGTCCTCATTAACGGCCAGATGGCTGTTGACGCATCGTTCGCGCATCGTCGAGCATGTCCAGTTTCACGCTCTTTTGGCTCGTCGAATTTCTATCGACATATGTCGTTAAGACGTCTGTCCATTTCAGAGTAAAAATTACCGCAAATGCTCTGTAGAATCGCTAACCGGTGTGTCGCGGAATTCTAATGATTATTTCACGTTTGTCATGATATGAAGAAGATTAGAAATCGTTGCTTCAGAATGTTTCTCGCGAGTGGACGTTGCGTCTGTAACCGACTAACCAAAGATACACAAGCTCACGGACGAACATACGAAACGTAGTTTCGTTTCCAAGGGGTTCGACAGGCGGAGGAATGGGCGGTGAATAATTCATCAAATACCAACTACACTTTTAGGGAATAACTCGGTTTACCACGCGTCATCGTGGCTCGTTTTCTCCCTTTTCCTCTTTTTTTCCTTTTTTTTCCCGTCCACGAATTCATAGTTCGTTAGCGTCTGGTCAAACAGAGCACAGACACGCGGCCAGCATTTGTTTCGAGCAACGAGTTCAGAGGTTGGAAAATGTATGAGATCGATGGATTACACGATGGTTCTGATAGTGACAATCGGAGGTGAGCTTAATAAACGTTTTGGACGAGAATATTTGTTTAAAGGAATACTTCATTCGAAAATGTTTAAAAAATATTTATATGTAAACGCACATACAAGGTTTCTAAAGTGTTCGAACGATTTCGTGAACCGCTACATCATCTCTGAGGTCATCAATTGTTTTAGGAAAACTATTCGCAGAAGAACACGCACGCCGATAACGTAAAAAAGAATTAATTTTGCGCCCGTCACCGTGGATTCCCGAGTGGAAAAGATCCGAGAAAGAAGAATCCTACAAAGAAGTTGCCGCAAATCGTTTAACGAGGAACGTGTTCACGAATCCTTATCCATGGTTCATTGTACTCGTAAAAACGAATTATACGCGAGCCGATCCAGAACCAGACGTTAATTAACTCGCTCATTAAGAATCAACTCTCTGTATTCTAGAACTGGGTATTTTACTAATCGATGGTCTTAGGATGGGGAATGACACTTATCGAATTCTATTCTCCTACGGAGATTCGATTGTATTTCTAACGTGGCGATTGAAAATTTAGGCTTGGAAGAGCGTTGCGAGTTAGAATTTTATGAAATTTTAGGTATAGAAAGAGAAAATTAGTCGTCCAATGAAGTATTTGCTGCTGCGATTTTTTCATTCATCGCTTAGTATTTATTTTTCAAATTACAGTGAAACAGAGTATCGAGAAATCGGTTTAAAGCTTTGATATTGTTTAAAGATTTGATATCACAACTAAGTGATTGCGAATTTTGTCATTAGGTGATAATAAAAAACTCAGTTGCCAATTCAATAATTGTATCATGCGCGTGTCACGTGCGCGTGTATCTCATGTCCATGACATTGTGCTTGTTATCCACCAAATTAACCTTGGGTTACTGATTCACGCGAAGTTACTGATACGCGCGAAGAACAATTAACGACACCAAGGTCATACTATTTCGGACGATGACAAGCTTTTGAATTGACTCCGATTGCTGAACGATCGTACGATACGAAACGACTGCTGCGACGCGATATACGGCTGAAGTGGTGACGATTACGAGCAGCTAACGATGCACTCGTTCGCGAACATGTGTCAATGCTGCTTGGTAATTGAAAGATTCGCACGGGATCGTTCACTGACTGAAACGATGCTTCGCTCTATGAACGTTTGAAGGCACTGTCTATGGTTGCAGATCTGGCACAGAACTATCAACCGATCGTCTCGACTGTTGAAACGATTCTGTCTCTCCGAGCGGTTGAAGTCGCGTCCACGAGCGTTAGGAGATGTTGATGAACCAGGAAATGCAGATGAGACTGCTCTCTGCGAATGTTCGGAGATTGAAACGGTTCTGTGCTTCACGTCTGGTGGAGAAGACGTTATCGCAGAAGGCAGACTGTGTGAAACTGCTCTTTCTGAAGATTGAGAGAATTAACTATTCTTACTCCACGTCTGGTGCAGAAGATGCTAACGATTCGAAGGCACGTTTTGAGTGATTAGACGAGACTGATTCCCCGACTGATGTTCACGGTTGGGCGATTCGAACGATATTGTCCGATGCTATGTTGAACTCGATCGAGCATCCAACGAAGCCCCAAACGGAGATTCAATCAGCATGAGTCAATAATCACTCAGTGCGCTCGAAGCGCGGAAAGACTCTTAGCGCGTGAACATTTTCTTAGGAAATCCTATTGCATGACAGCGACGTGTTTGATAACGGAACGAAGGAAGTTGTACGAGAAAATTGTACAAATTATATTATCATCGTTAACAATCATTTGGCGTAAAATTGTAAAAGGAACGTCACTAACAACTAACTTAATTTACTAATTTCACTTGTTGGTAAATTATCGTGTAAAAGAGTCGTATTATATGTTGATTGTCATAATCCATAAGATGACAGCGATATTTCAGATTTTTCTCTTGATTTTCAATGGAATAAACGACCAAAAAAATGTTTTTCTCGCCAAACTTTTTTCGCCATTTTTTATCTGATTTTTCGTTAGTCCAATGTTTGCGTCATGTATGTGTATTTCATTTTTTTTACTACACATGCATGGTATATTTTGATTTTACCGATCAACCTTAATGAGACATCCTTCGTCAGCGAAATTTCAAACTCGACGTACACTATTTCCTTTTTTCCTGTTTTCCACGTCGAAAACGTGGCCTCCGCATGACAGCTGAAACTCTGCAACAAATAGAAAAAGACACAAGCGTCTAATGAGAGACCTGGCGTTTTACTGACATTTGCATTTCAAATCAAATCAAGTAAACGAACCTGACCAGAATCTTGGTTTACCCTCGACGTTCACAAATCCCCTTCAACGTATTCTTATCAACGGTCCCGTTAATTTATATGCAAGATATAAAAAGACGTAAGAATCACTTTATTCAATTTTGAACACACTCTGCAAAAACAGATAATATTATTATACCGCTGTGCAACGATGTCGTAGGGAACGTAATATGCAAGAGTACACGATATATTCAAAATACACAACACGTATCATAACATTTAAGTAGATGAAATAAACCCTCACCTAAGTCTCACTCTGTGAATTATAACTATGACGTATTTATAGTTGGAGCTACGAATATGTCGTATAATTATCCTGAAAGTTTAAAATCTAAAATTATAATTATGTCTATAAAAATATAAATATGCGTAAATGTTTTACAGTCTGTTTATGAGCAATATTTGAACGCAGCCCATGAAGCGCGCTTTCACAACCAAGTACATGTTAAATTTGATCCCATCCAGCGTTAATCGATTCTCGGCCTCTTCTCCTCATTCTCTCTACATCGAAAAACCGAAAAACGCGGACGAAATTAATGCCGCGTAACATAGTAAATTTCACGACAGCCATGCGAAAGGAACATGGTACTTTTTCGAGAGGGTAACGGTGTAAACGAGATACGCGGGTACAACGAGTAAATGGCCGGTCGCAGCAGGCGTCGACGGTGTCAAAAATATATCGTCGCCGGTCGTTTCTCTTCGCTCGTCGTTGTCTATGCCCGCGTGCATCTGACGGTGAGCAACGCTGAACGCGATAAATACGCGGATCCCGGCTGCCCGTCGACAGAATTAAGGGAAAAAACCCGACGACTTCTCGTTTCTCGTTGCTCGACGTTGCACTTTTACCGAACGGTCTGGCAAGCTTTATCGCGAACGCTCGTTTGTTTAAGCTACATTTAGTTTATTTCGCCGACATCCCGTCCAAAAGAGGGTGAACCGTAACGACCCCCTTAAATTGTCGATGAGTTACGTCGAGTGTAAATGAGTGGATAAATTTCCGTTAATGTTTCCTGTTATTTGGTCGGACGAAATTTACACTCGGTCGGGAATTCGTGATAATTTCGCGCGATTTATATTTCGCGGCGTAACGCTGTTGCGGCGCGTGCCACCCCTGTCGTTCTTAAAAATTTCATTACCAAGCGCAGAGTTAGTTAATTTCGTGTACGAGTTGTTAGTTAGTGGATTGCTAATATTTATGTTTCTATGAGTATAATTAAGAAAGCGTTAGCCAGATAGAAAATTGTTTTATGTATTGAATGTTATAACGCGTACTATACTTTCGGATATTACGTGCAATCTAAATGCATTCGTGCAATTTTGGAATTTATATAAATGCATAAAAATCTGCAATCTGGTTATTATTTATCGTATTTAGTAATACATAATGTTATTAATCTGTAGCATTATCGATAAATTATTATATATCGAAGATAATAAGCACAATGCCGTATTTGAATGATTGTGATTGCGAATGCACGTCCCCTTTTACATAAGTCACTGGACCTTGCTGATTTTCAACATAATCTTCGTTAAAATCGAATAGAATCTTCGAAACATAGTATAATTTAGTTTTCCTTATAACACGGTTAATAAATATCAAGTTATATTAATATATATTAATATATATTAATTAATGGTCAATTAATTCCGGAAGCAAAACTTGAATTACCTATTGAGAGGCTTAGACGTGGCAGCGTATCACGAGTAAATATGCGAGTTGTATTTCCATATATCTATAGGTTTTAGACATCATTGTTTCAATTAATTTCGTTAATCTTTCATATATTTAGAACTTTTCTCATTCAATTTATATATTGTAGTCCAGAGAAAGAGCTTCTTAAATAAGCAAACAACTACACGGGACTTGCCATAAACATCAATAATTACAAATACGAATTTTAGATCTAAAAAATTAGTTTCATGATATTCTGTTGTTTCATTTTTCGCGTCATAGTATTCTTTTATATACAATTATAAGGAATAGAACGATTCAGGTCTCTTTTTCTCTAATTACCTCTAATTATCATTACGTAACATTCTATAAAAAAAATAAAAGAGTATCTAAATATCATCGAACAGTAGTGTAATCTCTCTTATCCTGTAGTATAGAGGAAAATGTTCAACGCCAAACGATAGAAGTCGTAACTGCAGTTAATAACGAATGGTCGGTGCAAGATAATGCTTTCCACTGCACAGACAGTCATTTCTGGCCGCCACGTCTACCCTTTTACTCACCCTTTACTAAAACTCACCCTCGTAGAATTCCCAGCTAGACGACGCAAATTCGCGCTTGGCAAGGAAACAGATTTTTAAAAGACGCGAATTCCCGCAAAACCAGCGTCACCGAGACATCGAAAACCGACCTGTTATAAGTCATAATAAATCGCACGTTATGTAGGTTAACACCAGGTCTGGAAGAATCATTCCGAGAATTTACGGTGAGCTTGTTGCCAAAACCACTGGTGTAAAGAAAGGGAACTCGCAGACATAAAGGAGACGGAGACTTGCGACGATAATGGCCCTCTCAGACGAAGAAGTTAATTTGGGAAAGAGGATTCCGTCGCGGACAAAACGCTTGTAATCCTTAACAAAGGGTGGTCTCAACTTCCCTAGTCTGTGTTGTCCCGAGGATGGTAATCTGCAAAGAGGGAGAACGGTCCCTCCAAGTTGATTCTTCGTTGCTCGTGTTTGACAGTGAGGGAGGTCTGTTATCGACGGACAACGTTTTAAGAATCCTTGTTTGATTGGAATCAAAGGTGTCAATATATGCATTGCTTTTTGATAGTAATATTGATTTAGAGAGGAAGAAATGAACTTTATTGTGAAAATAAATTTCCCTTTTATCGTATAGAACAATGTGTTTATATCTCTATACTGTTCAAGATAATTAAAGGATCATTCTCTATGATTTTTATATTTATTACTTGTAAATTTATTAGTATGTATGCTTTAACTATAATATTTATTATGATTCATCCTCTTGTATTTAATTTCTCATGGTTTTTAGTTTTTATATTTATAAAGCATACGATCAAGCCTTGAAATGAAAATGTATTACACGTGTCATAGGTATACTACATTTATAATAAATAATTCCCCTTTCTTTCTGCTCTCCTCGAAACAAATGTTTATGCGTTGCTTAAGCTGCTCGTATGGTTTGTTCATTTTTAATAATTATTACGTTACATAAGTGAAAAATCTCTACGTAAATGGAGCAACTCTTAAAATGCTAACAAATGCATTTATGTATTTTTTCATATCATGAATATTATGAACATTTATGGTGATAATTTTAAAATTTGTTTCGAGTATGGAAATAAACGTGTACGTGTAGGTGTATATTCATGTTATAACGTTAATAAAGATGTACGCGAACGAACAGAGACTCTGCTGTAAATATTTGCCATTTTTGCTTATTTTCTTTTTTTTTCTTTACTTATTTACATTAAATTCCTATATATTTCCAACGCAAATGTAATATTTTCAGCGTGTTTGTACAGTTAAATCAATCATGCGTTGTGTGATCGCATGTTCATCGTTCGTAAGTTCATCGATTAGACTTGCTCTCCTGTACCGTTAATATATATTTATATATATTTTTCACAAAGGTTGGAAATATAAATTTTATTACTGTATACACTGGTATTTAGAAATTAATTTAGCCAAGTTACAATGCACTATTATATGTACTTACGACGATTATAATCACTGTCACTGTTACATACCCAAAGAATCTTACCTACGATAAATTCCCTGACTTTTGACCGCATCGACCACGAAAGCGCTCGATACTACGCGATACTGCATGATGTTCAAATTCAAAGGCTCTGCCAAGTATGTATTTCTGGTCACGTAGCACGCACGTTCAAAGTAATCATAATTGAAACGCAGTCCAGGCACACAGTCGAGTTAATTAACGGAATATGCGTTTGCGGGACGAAACCGCGAATCAAAATGATTCCTTTCGGAGGTTGCCGGCAGGGACGATTGTTTTGCAAGTTACCGGTCGAACGTTCCACGAAATTGCAGACGGTATTGTGCAACGATGGTACGACAGTTGGTTGGTGGCTAGCCGGTGTGCATAAATTACGAGGAGCCCTACGCTCCGATAATAAATCATGACCGTGGTACCACACGACAGAGAATTCAGTCGGGTCGTCATTGCGTATGGAACAATTTAAGATGGCTGTGTACGTACCGGCCCGATACATATTTTAACCTTTCACAATCGCACGTCGACGCGTCCGCTTGATGATTTATGGTCGCCGTGACACGGTGAAAAATTCCCTTCGCAGGCTAACCACCGGGCCTTGTAACGGATTTAATTAAAAAAATCGCACAGGCTCGCACGCCTGCACTACCGGATTTCATTGCAACGTATACTATATCCGAATTCGAGAAAAATTTAGAGCTTTATGTTATTTTGCGGGCTTACAGTTAGCGTGAGGTATATTTGGATAACTAGTGTATTTTTTCGATTGAGACGCTATATAGAATGGAATTATGGTTTGTTTCATAGGGGGTGTCTCTGAAAAAGATTAAAAAAAAAGTGATTCTACATGAAAAAATAAGCCAGAAGAACGGAATATAATTTTTTTGTTAAGAGGCCTTCCGTAATTCTAATTGAGGTTAATTTCATCCGAAAGAGTAATTTCAAATAGGTGTCGTTCTAGACCATTTTAAACAATACTTCACCAGACTCGATGTAATCTTTTTCGGAAGGAATAATTTTCTTCGAAAACATTTGCGGGCTAATCAACGAAGAAGCTTAAGTCAAGCTCGTTAAACGCAACATCCTACACCTGTAAGCCGAATCAGCTCATAAAGCTGCGCCCCAGTTACAAATTAGATCTTTAAACTGACAAATTATCTTCCCTATCGGTGCTCGTTCATTCTAACCTGGCCGTTGCACACTCTCTGCCGGATAATGGATGATCTCTGAACGTTGTCCGCGATAGCTGCGTCATTGTTCGATCCTCCACGGCCAGCCTAACCGATGAAACCCTGCTCACGGAGACTCCAGACGTTCGCCCTCGTAAAATTCACCAAATGGAAAAACTTCTCTTAACCTTTTCTCCTGCTCTATGTTCCACGATCTAAGCTAGTAAGAAAGCTCAAGAGGAATTCAATCTGGTTCGTGTGACTAATGAACGCATAAAACGCTCCTCTCTGTCACGTTTCACCTTTCTAACTGGATGTTTCTATTCCAGAGCGAGAGGGATGGGGTTGAAATTCGAGCGAAGGACGAAGGGAAAACTCGACTTGGCAAATCTTTCGAGCTAATTCGTTTTTAGGACAGAATGTAACGTTAGAATTCTGGTCTTCATTCCCCTGTGATATTCCGTCGAGTTTCTCCCTCGTCTTCTTTTTCCTCTCCTTACCCTTATTCGCTCTCTGGTTTAATCTTGTCCTCGACAGCGACTGCGTCCTTTCACTTTTAAATAATTCCTATAGTAGTTTGTGGATCAGACCGATTGTTGAAATGCAAAGAACAGCGTCCCCAGTTCCTAATGGCTTTGGAATTATTACAAATGGTATAAGAAGCTTCTGGTAATAAGGAAAGATTACGAAGTCGTAAATATGTTGATTTTACATAAACGAATGATAACGCTATTTTGGAAAATATGACTAGAGGACGATGAGTAGCCCATTGAAGGATATTTATAAGCGATTTACTGATCTTTTACAAAGGATCCTCGTGTGCAACGTTAATGGCCGACGATATAAACTTTGATACAAGTAGAATTAATACGGTAGTCGTGCGTAGAAATTGCAAAGGGCGGCTCTTTAAAAGGGTCAAAGCCCAAGTATAAAAAGGCCAAGCGAAGAAGTCACGAAGTTTCGAAACTACGAGTACCTTTTATGTTAGATTCCTTAGGAAGAAATGCAATTTAAAGGTCATTCGAAAAGACCGATTTCCGAGTTCGTTTGATGTTCTTTTGAAACTCGTTATTTCACAATTCGCCGAACAATCTTTATACAAGCTATACTCCTGTATTATTCATTTACCACATCTTTATCGAAATTATTCGCGCTTAACCGAAGTTATTTTTCTAAAGAAGAAAATATTATCTACGTGCTTTAATTCGATTTATTTCAGAAGATTTATTCTACTAGATTTCGCCATTCTTCCTTCAAAGATAATATTTAAGAAAGGAAGTTTCCATTAAAAATGCGTAGATTCGATAGATTTATTTCCGAATGTTGCGGCATATTTCGAGCAATGAAAATCGATCTCATACGTTTTAATAAAAACATTTGTATGTAACGTACAGAAAGCAGGACAAATGTATCAAATAACGTAGACACATTTGGGTCTTTCACACGATATAAAAAAATCCGCGATGTTTGATTAAAGATAAATTAAAAACACGTTCACAATTAAAATTGATTAAAAATCTTCTACTCATACATATACATATACAAATACGTACAAATGCGCGACATTCTATTCTACGCAGATGCGATTCAGTTCTATTTTACATTTTAATAACGCGAACTTTCTGCTTCAGAGAGTCTGACATATATATTCCGTCGAAAAAGATCTCTGGCCATGTTTATGACGTTTCTATACATTTTCTCTGCTTCTTTCATAAACGAACTGCTCATTAGCGTTCTCAATAATTCAAACTATGAGTCAATAATGAGAAGCTTAAATCAGTAGTCGAGTTTTCAGAAACCAAATCGCCCGGCTTTACTTTTTGTCAGTTTCTCGATTTCATTAGATAAATAGACGATTAATGTTTAATTCTCGAGAAACAAGTGATTTACGTACTTCCATAAGTCTTTTGCTATAAGATGATGACGTAGAACACAGTAAGTTTCAAGGTAAATTTAAAAAAATAGTATTTGCAACATCACCACTTTCTTTTAATTTTCAACTTATATAATTCATCAATGTATCATAGCTTCTAAATATCTCGATTAGTATTTACTACTTTCTTATCCAATCAGGAGACTATAGATTGAAATTGAAATTTTTCAACTACTCCACATTAAAATACTTCCTTTTAACCATCAACAGATATAACAAAGATAAAACAAATGTATCGAAATGGAATTATATTTTTCCCCTGTATCTCACATTTTACGATCGATCTTAAATTTTATGTCTAAATATAATCACATAAGCGACAGTCGCACCTCCTTACGGCATTAATTGTCAAGAATTTTGCCGAAATAATGGTATAGGAACACTAAGTTTACACTTAGAATTTGTATTGTTAGAATTTAATCTTGGAATTAAGATTAATAATCTGTGGAAGACACAATGTTTGTGTTGAAACAATATAATGTGATATTTATTAAACAATTATTACAGGAATTATAAGTGTGTGTTCTGGAATGTGGACAGTTGGCTAGTTATTCACAGACTGCTGGCTTAGTGACACGTGGTCCTTGAAAAGTGACAAGTAATGAGTGTGACCTGTGTGGGTGCCTGTGTGGCGTCACATGTGCCACAGAACCTTCTAGTAGCTTCTCGACGTGCCCATCTAGAATGTTCCATCCATATCCTTACGCTTCTTCACGTGCACGTGCTAGCCGCCGCGGTACATCTCACGAACGCACGCTAGTGAGGATAGCGCTGAGCAACGAAGGGAAGAATCCGTACGATCAATCACCTCATCTGTATGCGATTAATATCGTTGTATTCCAACATGTATTAAAATAGTTATATATTTATTTGATAAACGATTTCAAAGTTATTCATCGATACATACTTGCACGCGTCTCAGCACTTTCTTTGTCTCATCTTCTTCCATACCAGGCTGTTAACTGAACAGACGCCGCGCACACACATACTTCCACACACTCACATTCACATACGTGTGTCACTACTACGCAGTTAATCAAGTCTAGCACACAAGATTATACATATCTCAATATTAATATAATTGTAAGATATAGTATACAGCACACATGGCGCATACGTACAAATATTCTACAAGTGCTGGAATATTGCCGTGAGTTACCCTACTTCTCGAGAGAAGCTTCCAAATGCCCGGATACTTTTCAGCGATACTGTATGGCGAACGATACGCGAAAAGCATGGTCTCGTGTACTCGAAAAATTACGAACGCATCGGTGAATACGTAATAAAAGGGGCAAAGTCTGACAAGGGTGCGCGTTACTGGCGTAGAGAACCTTTCACAATGGTTACCGGTAGAATCGTTCCCGGCTCTTTTGTATATTAGCTGCAATTTTGCGGCCTTGCGAGATCAAACGGGTTAACCTTGCCGCGAGCAACGCGTAATCTGACTTCAAAGTGGCCGGAAGTATGCGTTTCGTTGGCAGCGTTAGTTTCTGTACGCGCTGCATATATTGAAACCAGAAATGTTCGAAATATATAGGCGTGCAGGGAGAATGGCAGTTGAAGAGGAAACG